TAATGTTTCTATAAAAAAAAAGAACTAACAGTAATACTAATAAAATGGGAATAATACTAAAGCTCTATTCAGACAGTTATTGTTTCTCATGTGGACGTCTGTAAAAATAAATTTGCATGGCACCGCAGTGATTAAACTCATGCCTTCCGATGGTGATTTTATTTACATTGGAAGAGCGAGTTCTGTAATCCTACAAACTCGCTGCTCATATGGTCAGTCATGTGACTCATATTTAAATTAATAATAGGAAAATAATATCATGTTTAATATCAATCAAATTGGCATGCTATGGTTAAATGGTTTTCTGTCTTGCATTTTATCTAAAAATGATGGATGTAATGTAGGGATGTTCATTTCGGTTATTTTTCCTAACTGACAACCGATGCTCGTTTACCGATTGTTAACCATTAACCGACAAGATTATTTTAAATTAGAATTGAATTAAATTAGGATAAGTGTCTGTGACCCATTAAAAAATATTAACATTTGTTTCCCGGGGATTAATTTTACATGCGCAAAAAGCAGCAAACAACAGAACATGAGGATTCACATGGTCATCATATCACATCGCGCACCTGCAGCACTTCTGCGAGCAGAGAAAACATCATATATATAGTTAAGTTATAGTACATATCATAAGTTAAGCTTTGCTACCTTGACAATGCAGCCAGTTCATTATCATAATAAAATACAGTCAGTCAAACATATGGAAAAAAAAAAATGTAGTAAAATCTGTGCCGTTAAGTGTTATCACCGTACTGCCGTGATGTTATGCAAAACATTTTGTTTTGCGTGGATATTGGAACGCGAGTGAAGTAGGCTACATAATAAATAATAATTTGCCATTCAAATATATCGCGAATACGGAAACATTTGATTTTGTGTGAAATGAGAGACCCAACGTTTGTTTCAGTTTCGTTTTAGCCTAAATGAATTCGTTTTGGCTTGTTGTTTTGCTATAGCTTCTTATATTTTTGATTCTTGTTCTTTTCTAAATAATTGAAAGGATTTGTTGTGGAGTGAGGGGAACTAAAATAGCCTAGCTATGTTTACGGTGTTTATTATAATGTTTGTAAACATTTCGCGTTGGCATTAGGCCTATTTCTGAATGAAATAATAAAATGCGACTTATACGCGACTTATGTTTTTCCCCCTAAAAAACACATTTTTTAATACGCGTAGCGTATTTTAACCATGCAGCAAACCTTTTTCAATATTTTGATAAATTACTGAAAAAATAAATAATTAAATGACTTTTTAAACCGTTTAACTGATTGTATTAATCGGTCAAAATTCTTACGGTCGGTTAACCGGTTAAACGGTTAAAATGAACATCCCTAAAGTGGAAATTAGTAGAAATAAAGTCATGCAAACTCCTATTTACATAAGGTAAACATTTGACTAAACTACTTGTACGACTACAGGGCTCCAGACTCATTCTTCCCTCTGGTGGCTCTTATGCGACTAACATTCTCAGTTGGTCACATGAACACATGATTTGGTCGCAATTGTTTTTTTGCTACAACATGGGATTAATCAATGCATGCTGATGAACTTTTATCATAGTTTATAGTTATATGAAAACGAAAGTGGTTAACATTCAACCCCTTCTTTTTCATCAGTAGTATTATTTAGTGGTTAACATTCAACCTGTTCTTTTTCATCAGTAGTATTATTTGTTATTTTAATTTTGTGAACGTGAGTTCCTCTTTTGCGGTGTTATAAGCCGCGTTATAAGCCCGTACCTATACTTCGGATGCTTTCGCTTTTGAATTTGCGATCTTGTTGTCACATTTTACAATAAAAGATAATTGTCTGTTTTGCTTACATCTATACACCTTTCACTTTTTAAGACTAAAACAAAAGATGGATTCATTGTTATTCTTAATTAAAAAGCACAACAACAATATAACAGTAAGATACAATGACAAACAAGCTTAAAAAACGTTTATTATAAATATATATGAAATATATATTGAAAGTGAAATATATGCCTAGAAAGCTTGAAATGTCTACTTTTAAATTAAGTAAGTCACAATCAAAACAAATATTCTCTATTAAAGTAATCCGTATATAACCAACATGAGCTCCAGTTTTCCCGTCTCAACTCATTATCTCTAATGCAGAGTCACGCCCGCGAGCAGCTCGCGCTTTTCAGATTCTAAACATCCATGTGAGACGCGTGTGCATGGAAACGCCCACATCGCCTCCGCGTAAACAAACAAGTTCATCCCGGCTACTTTTTTGTTTCTGGAAGAAGACGTGCTGAGAGAAATAACCCAGAATTTACCTCACAACGCGATGTGTCACGCAGTTGGATCCAGTGGAGTTTATTCTGATGAGTAGATTACTTGTATCTGTTGTTATTGTGTAATTGTGATATAACCTGTACACATTTTACGAGTTAGACTTTTCCCAAACTATAATTCCTGACTATATGTATGAAATCAAGTGAAACATTTTGAAATATATGTCATTTCTTTGTCTAAATGTCTCACAACGCCAGGATGTTTGTTTAATGTTTTATAACATAAAACCACAAGATATAGAAGTAGAATGAGTGTTAACACTATGATATTAGAGTCTATGAATGTTTGGCACATAGGTGTGTTACTGTTCAAGTCTCAGTGTTCAGATCAGTATGTTCAATCATGTGTCCTTGACCTTCACTGTGTATATTTTTATTATGCTTGTAAATAAAAATACAAATAATACAAATACAAATAATAAAAAAACTCATTATTTTACTCTCCTCACTCTTTCTTACCTGCCTCAGTCACATTCATATTGATGGCCCATTATGGGAGGGCCTTTGTCTCTCAGGTGTGAATCACTAAATATTCATGGCCATTGTCACCCTTATTTACCTTGCACGATGTTACAACAGAAAGCCTGTTTGCAATTAGTTTCTTATCCTTATTTAATCAATGACTGTTCATTTATCTTCAGTGAGCTTGAATTTGTTTTTTTGTCTCGTTTTAGGCTTGAATTAGTTTGATATTGACATTGGTGACAAGGATTATGAAAATTCTATGGTATCAAAGATTTTAATATCATAAAAACCTTTTTAAAAGAAAAAAAAAAGTATATCATGATATATATCGTTATTGTGATATAAAATTACTCATATCGTGATATAAGATTTTGGTCATATCGGCCACCCCTACTAATGACACACATTATTTAGTCACCTTGTGCAAAATTTAGTCACGTGAGTGATTTACTCGTTGTGTAAAGGTTTGAGGTGAATTCATTACATACAATTATGAGGGAGAAAAATACAAAGTAGAGACATTTCAGTGCACTGCTGCCTCGTGAGACTGTAAAATATCAAGAGTTTTTACTACTAGTGCCATAAAGTGTTATATCAGAATTTGAAGTGCTGCATTCAGCCCAGTTCCCCTGATTACCTGTTATTGCCTGTTACCTGATTACCAGATACCACCTACAATAAAGTGCTTTGCCTAAATTACAGGGAGAACGGTCAGATCTAGTTTGAACCTTGAGCACCTCCTAATTACATATCTTTTTAAAGACATCCCTAAAGATAGCTGTAGTTATTAATTAATCATTGGCGTTTGAGATTTGGTTTGTGTGCTGTCAGTGGGCTCCTTGTTAGGTTGTCTTCAGGACACTGTTGTTCCAGGGAATGTTCTGGAATGTTTGCAGCCGCTCTTTGTGTATCTATCACATGCTTTTCTGTGACTGCATCTACAAACTTGCCAACTAACCAGTAACCAAGACAACTTAGCTTTGCAAACATCATGTCACCAAGGAGATGCGGAGAGATTTGCCTGCAGAAAATTCCAGCATCGTCCCATTATGTGTTCTCCAGAGCTCTGAGGAATGAGCCATGGTCATACTGTGCTCTCTGCTAACTGTCTCAGCACTGAGGCGCTTTTAGCTTCTCTAACAATGGCCAACATTGTGAGTGAAAGGTCATCGTGCGTGATATGTGGGATTAGAAGCATATCTACTCTCAATTGTCTGCAGATTATAACATCTGCTGTTAGGGGTCAGTTCGCACATCGTTCCTATTTGTTTTCGGGACATTTTGTTCCTGTTCCACATGGTGTCGGGAAGTTAGTCGTGCCTTAAAGAGGTCTGTAATTTGGCACAGTGCTCTTAACATCTTAAAAAGTCATTCATGTAAATGATAGTACAAGTAATGGAGTAGATCTAATGACCTGTAACACTGTGTATACATTTCAGAAAAAAGGTCCATCCTGGAAGACACTTAGAAAAGTGCCATTCAAAAAAAGAATTTTTATTTGAGTTCTTTTGAACTTACTATTCATCAAAGAAGCCTGGTAAAATATTAAGCAGCTCAACTGTTTTCATCATTGATGATAATCAGAAATGTTTCTTGAGTAGCAAATGAGAATATTTGGATTATTTCTGAAGGATCATATGACACTAAAGACTGGAGTAATGATGCTGAAAATTCAGCTTTGCATCACAGAAATAAATTACATTTTACAATATATTCAAATAGAAAACAGTTATTCTAAATTGTAATAATGTTTCACAATATTGCTGTTTTTACTGTAGTTTTTGATCAAATAAATGCAGCTTTGGTGAGCATAAGAGACTTCCTTAAGAAACATTAACAAATCTTACAACCCAAAACTTTTAAACGCTAGGTTTGTCATGTTTTTGGAATTCTAATTTCCTTGTTTAGAGTCTTGGAACACTTTTATTAAGAAAAATACTTTTCCAAGAAAAATGAAAGTGAAGCATCAAGGCTTTCAGTTGCATGATTGGAAACCTTGTTTGGATTAAAATTCCACTTAGTATTAAATGTGGTTCATGTGATGCCATATGCAGCAGGGTGAGCAGATTGCCTGCCGTTTTTCTTCCTAATTGAGATTTAAACTTCACCAGATACTTTTTTCAGACCACAGAATTTGCCCCAGCTAGTATTTAATCAGAAAGATTATTATCCGTTTTGATGCATTTGCTGATGCTGCTATTCTCTGTGTGTGTTTTATTTCCTCCAGCTTAACCACTGAAGTCCTGAACAGGATTTGCGGTCCGTCAATGAGGAACTACAGGCTCATCTTCTGCCATAACCTGAAGCAACCATAGCTGAACAATTCGTTTACTACTAGTGAGTGGAGCAGGAGATAAAGTGAACTTCTGGGCATTTCTACAATAAGGTAAGCTCTGCTGTGACGAAAAAATCAATTCATGTTGCAAGCATACTTGCTTAGATAAGATGCGTGAGACCAGCTGGTGTTGTCATGAAGACATCAGGTGTCTCAACAGATCAAGTTCAGATTGTGTGTACATTTCTGATCATGCCGAACGCTAATCAGATGCAGTCGCAGAGTTTTTCCTTAACATGAACAGCTTGTTCGCTGTGTTTGTGATGGAATTTGCATGTTGAAGGAGAATCGCACCTGCTACCATCAACCAAATCGGCGTGCCGCATCTGACGGCTGTACGATCCTTACACATGACAGTCGCTCCACTTATTTAAGCTCTCCTCTTCTCCACGCTCACACACAATAAGAATGGGAGAGGTCCCGCTCCAATTTTCTGCTTGTTTTGTTCTTGTTGTCCGGAGTTGGTCATTTGAGCTCGCGCCCCACCCATGATAGCGTGTTTGTACAGAGAGTTGACGAGCTGGCCGGTCGACGTGACCTTGTTCTGGGCATCTCTGTGTGCAGACAGACTGAAGCAGCTAGGCTGTGGAGGCGATGAGGAAGAGCCTCAATACTTCCCTCAGTGACTCCCTCAGCACGACCAGAGTGTTCGGGATCCCCCTGGAGGAGGTGCAGCACAGCGGGCAGCCAGGACATGAGGTCCCTCTGCTGGTCAGGAGCATCGTCGAGTACATTGAAGAGCATGGTGAGTCAGGGAGGACCCTGGTGATTCATGGGACTTTCTTTCTAGCCGTCACTGATAGCAGCATCATAGTTACTGAAATTACTCCAGGGACAGAAATGAAGACCAGTAAAAGACCAGAAAGTGTATATTTATCATTTGAATCATGGCTTTATGAGGTTTCCGAACCATTCAGGCAAATGAAAATGTTACATATACACATTCATACAGATATCAAAATATGTTCAAGAATATACTAAAGTCATCAAAGAATGTAAGCTTACTTGCTTTACATTCTTTATACATAGATTACAGTATTCAGATAGTTGGAGCTTGTTGTGGTTTTCAAATACCATGCTGTTGTGATTTATTGTGTTTATTTATTTTTTAACAATCACTTTAATTTAGTTGGTTTTAACTTCATGAGTTTGTGTATCAAATATACATTCCCATCCAAAGGTTTGGGGTCAATAAGACTTTTTTTTTTATTCAGCAAGGATGCATTAAATTGATCACAAGTGTCAGTAAAGACATTTAAAATGTTACAAAATATTTCAGACAAATGCTTTTCTATTAATCAAATAATTCTGAAAATAAAATCATGTTTTCAACAAAAATATTATGCATTACTACAGTTTGATCATTAATTTCAGCATAAAACCAAATCAGCATATTAAAATTATTTCTAAAGGATCTTGTTACACTGAAGACTGGAGTAATGAAAATATATTTTATAATATTAAAATATAAAATATATATATAAATAGAAAACTATTTTAAATTGTAATAGTATTTCACAATATTACAGTTTTTACTTTTATCAAATTAATTTAATGAGCAAAAGCGATTAATTTTTAAAAATATTAGAAAAACAAATTCTTACTGTCCCCAAACTTTGGAAGGTTGTGTAATTAGTATGATGTGATGTCATAATAATTGTGTTTATATGCCTTCAAAACCCCCAAAGTCGTTACTCTCAAATATGCAGCAAGGTTGTGTAACACATGAGTATATAGCAGCTACATAAATAGTTTAAATATTTTTGTATTTATCAAAGTAGCAGAGCATGACATTTTCATCTGATAAGGCCAAAAATGTTGTTTGGTTTGACTGTACGATAGGAGTGGCTTCCCTGTACTCCCAGATCAAAGATGTACTTCCTTTATTGTGCAACATCACAGAGTTAAAAGCGAAAATAAGAAAAATTTTCGGCCCGAGGCTTTTTATAATACCACTGTATCAATACAGCGAGTCTCTCACCTACTAATTAACTGCTGCATGTAGAGACGTAAATGCAGAGTCCTTCACGTTTTACTCTTTTTCAAAGACTGGTATCTGCAAATTGCTGAACTTCTCACTCGCACATCCAGCAGACTGTGAGAATATTTTAAATTCTCTTTAAAGAGATGAGGACTGCAGCCTGATGTTTAAACTGCAGCACAGGCAGGATGTTGAAAATATGTTGGCAGGGCTGTTAAGTTCTTTAAAGGGCTTTAGCCGCCACTGTTGTCTCCAAACACCAGCTCTTCCTCTCTGAGTTCAGCACACTGGCAAATTCGTTTCATACGGAAGGATGTTTTTGTACTGAAGCTAATTTAGACATAACAGTGAGCGACGTTGTGGCTTCCCCTCATGCGGTGCAGAGTCTTATATACACACACAGAGCACCAGGAATGGGAACCGAGACAGACCGGCTAATGCTGATTTGCCAACTGAGCTTTTAGGAAGCTTCTGATCTGATCTGGCAGAAATCTAGAGTTTATTTTAAAAGCGCTTCAGTCAAGAATATAAAATATGCATTATTGGTTTTATTCTAAACATTTGGGTTGAAGAATGTAAACTTGTTCCGTCCTGAAATTAAAATTTGCCGCAGTTCTTTTTTAAAAAATCAGCAAGCCTGTTTCATTATCTCATAGATGGCAGACGGAGAGAACGGAGCTGATGTTATCATGCTAACAGATCAGCTCTTCCTCTCTGAGTTCAGCACACTGGCAATTCTCCTCCACCGTTTCATACGGAAGGATGTTTTTGTACTGAAGCTAATTTAGACATAACAGTGAGCGACGTTGTGGCTTCCCCTCATGCGGTGCAGAGTCTTATATACACACACAGAGCACCAGGAATGGGAACCGAGACAGACCGGCTAATGCTGATTTGCCAACTGAGCTTTTAGGAAGCTTCTGATCTGATCTGGCAGAAATCTAGAGTTTATTTTAAAAGCGCTTCAGTCAAGAATATAAAATATGCATTATTGGTTTTATTCTAAACATTTGGGTTGAAGAATGTAAACTTGTTCCGTCCTGAAATTAAAATTTGCCGCAGTTCTTTTTTAAAAAATCAGCAAGCCTGTTTCATTATCTCATAGATGGCAGACGGAGAGAACGGAGCTGATGTTATCATGCTAACAGATCTGACTAAAGGGATTACGAGTTTAACAAGTAACTGCTCCGCTTAGTCAGCTTCTCTGTGCAATGATTCAGCGATTAGAGTCTCTTCGGTGAGATGTTTATACGTTATTCTGCACGTAGGTTTGTCTTAGTGAGCTGTGTGTTTGTGTTTTGTAGGAGGGCTGCACCTGGGTCTATTTCTAGTGAACGGGAACGCAGAACGCGTGGAATGGCTCAGGCAGCGCTACGACAGCGGCGTTGAAGTCAACCTGGAGAAGGAGGCCGACTTGGCATCTGCCGTCAGCCTGCTACGCCTCTTCCTGCAGGAGCTCCCCGAGCCCGTCATCCCTGCAGGCTTACAGGCGCAAATAATGCAGCTCTATCAAGGTGGATGAAGCTCTGTTATCCTACCAGCTGTCCGAATTGGCTTGAAGAGATAATTCACCCAAAGTTAAAATGACCCCATGATTTACTCACCCTCGATCCATCCTATGTGTATATGACTTTCTTCTTTCAGACAAATACTATCAGAGATGCATTAAAAAATGTCCCGGCTCTTCCAAGCTTTATAATGGCAGTGAATGGAGGGTCGAGATTTTTAAAGCCCAAAACGTGCATCCATCCATCATAAAAAGTGCACCACACGAGACCAGGGGGTTAATAAAGGCCTTGTGTAAGAAAAATATCCATATTTAAAACTTTATAAACCGTAATCTCTAGCTTCTAGATAGAGATTACGGTTTATAAAGTTTTAAATATGGATATTATTCTTACACAGACACATTGATTCATCTCAGAAAGCCTTTATTAACCCTCTGGAGCCGCGTGGAGCACCTTTTATGATGGGTGAACACACTTTTTTGTGCTTCAAAATCTCAGCACCCATTCACTGCCATTATAAAGCTTGGAATAGCCAGAACATTTTTTTATATAACTCCGATTGTATTTGTCTGAAAGAAGAAAGTTATATACACCTAGGATGGCTCGAGGGTGAGTAAATCGTGAGGTCATTATCATTTTTGGGTGAACTATCCCTTTAAGTTGCATCTCTCTGCAAATGCTCGTTTTACCTTCTGGAATGTTCTGGCAACTTGACAGACTTGTAATATGATTGCATCATCAAAGCACGGCCATAGTCTTTCACGCCTTTACATCAGCCAGCTCACCTACTATCATAATAACTGCACGTCCCTCTGAACTTCCTCCTCATTCTGACCGCTGGTTTGTTTGCTCTCCTTTAGACTACAGCAGTGAGGAAGAGCTGGGCAGAAACATGAAGTACTTCCTTCAACAGCTGCCGCAGGTCAATTACAGTTTGCTCCGCTTCCTCTGCCGATTTCTGTCTGGTGTGGCGTCTCTTCAGGAGGAGAGCTGGAGCATAGGAGCTCTCGCTGCCGTCTTCGGGCCAGACATTTTCCAGTAAGATGCTTTTATAGTTTCTGATAATTCATATTAGCTATTTTGCTTGCGGAAGAGAAAATCATGTTGGAAGAGCGAACAGTCATTTTTTCCAGTGTAAGACTGTTTATACTGGTGTATGCCCACACAGAATCTTCACAGTTTCGATTGTGTGGGAAAGTCTTAAATAGGGTCAAATGATAAACAGAGCTAAGATTAATTCAAAGGGCAGGGTAGATGATGTTGAGGTTGACTGTCGAATCAATTGTGTGGAGATCCATGAAAAAAATTGCGCTGAAATGTATCATTTCTGCAGCATTAGGGGACGTTCACACAAAACGCGTCTAAAAACCCGAGACGCAGTGCTCAGGAATGCACTGCGTTTAAAAAGCACAGTGCAGAATGCCTCCTCTGCCATGTTGCCGTCAAATAAAACAGTTGCCATGCCAACTTGCTACTGTAAACAATAGCTCACACTGCTTGCCCCGCCTCCGGGGTCTTCTGATTGGTCCACTGTTTTGGAACTGACATTGATGAGTGACGCTGTGTGTAAAAGTTGAAATTCTTTTAACTTGACGTGGCATCTTAAAAATGTGCGCTCACAAAAGACGCGAGCACAACGGTTATACACATCCATCTAGCGTTTACATAGAAAAACAATGGAAATGTAGCGCATTGGAATGGAAAAAACGCATTCTGTGTGAACGGCCCCTTAGACTCACCAAATGGAATAGCATTAAGTTTTCAAACTGATTCCCAAACACTCGTTTCCTGTTAGACAGACAAGACAGTCTTGCCCCAAACTCACACGAATGGTTTAGCTAATGTTTTAGAGCCCAGATGGTTGGATTCTCAAACAAACAGAGCAATATTTTAATTATTTTGCACCAAAAAGTCAGCATTTACACAGTTGAGGAAATCAGTCTACAGACATATTAAGCTGATATAGAAGAAAGTATTTTACCATCAGAAAATGACACACGTTTAACCTGATTCCTGTCTACGTTCTGCAGTTTAGACACAGATGCGGAGGATCTGAGAGAGCAGGAGTCGGTAAGCCGTATTCTGGCAGAACTGCTGGAGAACCAGGAGGACTTCTTTGACTCGGAGGACGATGACATTTCCAACACCAATGACTACAGCTCCATTAATGACCAGGTGAACTTTCTTTCCTATGTGCTTCAGCAGTGCTATTATTGACATTAGTGCTGCTCATCTGTATGAAACTGATGCTATTTATTCAAAGCCCAGAAAAGTTCATGACAAGGATGCACCATTCAATCAACCACTGAATCTCTACCAGATGATATTGTGAATCGCTGCGTGCATCACACAATACACGGACACTAATAATGAATGAGCTTTGTCTCAGTGCTCTGCATATGACAGCAGCCACGGAAGTAAATTGTTGGATTCAATTCAAGTTTATTTATATAGCGCTTTTCACAATACAAATCGTTGCAAAGCAGCTTTACAGAAAATGAAGTTTCTACAATATATTTAGTAGTAGCTTATCAGTGGTGACTGTCAAATTGATGTACATATGGCAGATTCAGATGTTTACAGCCTGTTTATTTAGAAAATAAATGACATGCTTATAAATTGTAGCATGTCCATTTTCACATTCAGCTGAAGCGCTGTCCAATTAGAGATAAAAACGAAAATGCAAACAGATGCAGAAGTGAATTAAACAACAAATACATTAGTGATGGTAAATCTGTTGTATATGCAGATGTTGTATATGCAGTGTGTTTATCCTGGGGTAACATCACTGAGAAGTTTTGTAAATGCATTATTAAAAGTGGTTTGTGACAACTTAAACCAAGCCCCAAAGAGTAAACAAATCGCAGATGCCAATAATTATTTAGAGTTAGTATTGGATAAAGTGTGATCATTGCTAATATCCCAAAGAGTGAGAACAGAATATTACCATAAATGTTGACATTTCACAAAAAGACATTGTAAACTGATGATAAAAAAGGCGTTAGAAAATTATCGGTGATTTGGATTAGTTTCAACCTGTAACAGTTTTAAAATTCATATATATTCATATTCATCATATTTCCTGATCAGTGCACGGCTAATTGTTAGTGCAGCGCTTACAAATGCTTTAGGGGAAGTTGTACATTTGTTTTCTAGATCAATAGGCTTAGTGTAAGTCGGTATTAGCTTTGTTCCTCATGAAATACTTGCCCAAACCTTGCAAATGCGATATTGCGATTTGAGTTTTAAAAGGCGATTATATACTTACGCTCTGTGTTTGTTTAAAGCTTTTAAAATGTGTGCCGTTTGCCCCAGTTCCAGGTGGAGGCAGCGCTTTACACAAGCAGATGTGAAGCACAGAAAAAGGAAAAGCAGTGTTAGAAGGATATTACATCTGCAGTGTTATGTAATCGACTGAAATCCATCCCAAGGCGTGTGTCCTGCGTTCGGTGTGTCTGTGAGCGTTTGCAGACTGCAGGTTCTCTCACAGTCATTTGTTTTCTTTGAAAGTGCAGATCGTTTTAAATCTCATTTGTATGACACTCACATCCTTTAAGGAGCTCGAGATTTCTTACATCACCAGACTTTACATGTCTGGTTAATAATGGGCTGTAAGTTCTTTCCAAGAGTCTTCTCCTTCTCCTTCTCCCTTAAGTCAGACTGGCAAAAAAGAGGAAACAACCCTTTTGTACAAAGACAATACTAACTACAGTTACATAACCGAGTGATGAAAGTTTGGTTCTGGCACCTGCGCTGGTCTTTTCATAACAGGCAGAAATTTACAGACCTGGGAAAGGTTCATCTAAACAGCATAACCTGGAGAGCTGCCTTGCTGTCTAATCTCTACATAGGCAGCTGCCTTTTCAGTCAACACCTTAGCCATCATTAAACTGCTCAAATGAGTGATTTGAAAAGCTTTACATAGACATAACTCACAACTGATTCCAGTGGACTGCTGCAGGGATGACGTGTTTTTGTAGGCCAAAAGACAGAAATGGAAAAGAATTTCATCGTTTTGGGGGGTTTTGAATGTGTTTTTGGTTAAATGCCAGACGTAGGGTATGTGGTTAACACGAGCTCAAGATATTTTCACATTTAATTCTATGACGTAAAATACTTCAGTAATACCTCAGTTGTGATTTTGTTCAAGCTTTTGCTTTTCTTGAAAAAGGCAGTTGCTAACAAGTCACTAAATGGCACTACAGAGGTTGTCAGAAACATTAAATATCATCACACTTTTTTAAATCAAGACTGAAAGAGCCGTTGGAAATGTTTGTTTCTGGCAGTTGTATAATGTATTTAGGCTTTAAAATTCATAGAAGTTGTGTTCATTTGTGAAGAATTTGATCATGAACAAAACGTAAGAATCATTAACGTTTGTTTTTCACGGGGTTTAATTTCTGCAATAATCCAGAAGCCAGCGAGAAAATCCTGTTGGGTTTTTGTCAAGGGAAACGACTTCTGTACTGTAGCTTCCAGGTTGGCCTACTTAATACGTCATCACTGCAGCATTTAATAGTATTCACATGCATTATGTAAAATAGTACAGGTGTGGTCCTATAGCAAAATTTCAGCAGAATTTCAGTATAGTTTTGTGGGCAAAAAAAGGTCCACTGTCTATTGTCAACTTGAAGCTGGTGCCAAATCTGAATGCGGAAATCTTCCAGCCTCACATGAAATTCCAGATTGCACAGATTCCTGTTGATATTACTGGATTTTGCATGCAAAAATAGCTAAAAACAGTAAATGTAACTGTACAATTTTGCTGCCAAATGAAATATTCGGGACCAGGCCTTCACATCGATGATGCCTTAAAATGCACACTACGTTCGAAGCTCATTACGTTTTGGACCAGAGCTGTGAGCTAGTTGGGCCCTGTGAAATTTGTTTTATTTTTTCCCAAATTCCATTTTATCTATTTATTTATTTATTTATCTATCCAAATTCCATTTTGTTCCATTTCAATTTTTCTGGACTCTTGTTAAGGGTTAAATTAAATTGTATTAATCAAAAAGCATGTCTAATTCAATGAAATCATGAAACTTATACAATTTAACATCATTTTTTTTATAAGTGTTTAAGCATGTCTAATTATTTGAATGCATAAAAACAACTTAATTTATTCAAATTTATTTGTACAATAATAGGGCCCTATGAAATTTTTATTTATTTTTCAGAAATTCTGTGTTGTGTATTTAAATTTTTCTGGTTATCAAATGAAGAAATAAAACATTCATTTAATTTATATTTTAATAAAATGAAAATTAAATTACATTTTTTATTGTGTGATTATTAGTGATAGTATTTTTTATTCATTCATCCAAAATTTGACAAATTCTGTGGCACTCTATTAAAAATGATATTTTTATGATAGGATTCCACCATTCCGTCTGCATTTTCATAGGGCCCTACACTAGTCTGCTTGTAGCAGATCCACAGCCTCCCTTGAAGGATAGATCAGGTTGAAACAGATCTTATTGGTTTCAGTGGAACCACTGCAGACATGCTTAGAAATACTAGACATTACAGTCTGCTGAAGGTCCTCCGTACTGTAAGAGACGGCATAAGAAACCGAAAGGACAGAAACAAATGTAAGCAGCATGGGGAAGGTCCTGGGTGACCTATCTGGATTCCAGCCAGTGCTCAAGGAGCTGGCATATGCTGAAATGAATATGGGCATAAATCACAGATTTATTTCTAAGCGTGTCCCGCTCCAGAGACTCTCCCAAACACTGATCATATGCCTCACCCAGGGCTCATTGAGATGAGATGGAGCTGACTTGTGTAATTGTTTGGCCCATGTCAAGGCTGGCGTCATTTAGCATTGAATAAAGCATTCTGAATTGGCAGGGTTTGTTACATAAGTGCCTAAGATTAAATCATTTTGATAATTGCATATTACTAAGAGATTGGACTTGGGACAGAGGTGGATGATGTTCTGTCCATATAAGGATGCACGGCTTATTATGAGCAGCCCTGACTGGTGACCGTGCCCTAATCTCCCTAGCAACACTTGCTGTTGTGTGTTTATCATTCAAACTCTGGTGACTGTAAAAAGGTTGTGTCCTTTTGTTTTTCAAATTCCTGTTTCTGCCCTGAAATGTTCAGACCTGTTGTGGCCAGACACTGAAATAAAGCAGGTCACCGTGCAACGCTGCAGATCTTTGCACACACAGTTGCTGAGCCTGTTTTTCTGATCCTCAGAGGCTGTGAGATGAGTTCTCCATTCGTGTGGGTTGTTTTTCCTCTTTGGTTTGTGTGTGTGGTTGACAGCGTTTTTACTAATTAATGAAGAGCGCCTTTAATTAGAGTCTCAGTCAGCTCTCTGCTGTTGGTTTTTGTATGCAGATGTTGTTGTATAATCTGGAGGCGGCACATTAACAAAGCCTCTGAGGCCAAACAAAGGCCTCAAAGAGTTTCTGCGTGCTTCAGCTTCCTGGAGGTATTAAAACATCATGGATGAAGCTGTGAGGATGTTTTCCCCACGTTGGCTGCAGCGTCAGTGCTTAAGATTATGTGGTCGTGTTTTGAAAGCAGTAGTTTCTAATAATGAAAACGGTGAGAGGCAGGGCTCATTTCCTTCACATCTGCAAGTTTTACTTTGTTGATTTTCTTAAAACACCTCAGTTTTTGTGTCCATTGAGACATCTAAAAACAATTCTACATCAGTCCACAAATTATTAATATGAATAATAATAATAATTATTATTATTATTGTTATTAACTTATAACAAATAGAATAACAATGATACATACTAATACTTCTACTACTAATAATAATAATTGTTGTTGGCATTATTATTTTTAGTTATAATAAACCAAATTAATAGTAATAATTGTATTAGTATTTTGTAATTTTGTGTTATTATTATTAAGTTATAAGAAATAGAATAATGATAATACATACATACTACTACTAATAATAATAATAATGATTATTGTCATTGGTGTTATTATTAGTACAATAATAATTTTATTAGTATTTTGTAATTTTATATTATTATTATTATTACATTAGACATTGAATAATAATAATACATACTACTACTACTAATAATAATTATTATTGTTGTAGGCATTATTAGTAGTTATAATAAACAATTAATAATAATTGTATTAGTATTTTATATTATTATTAAGTTATAAGAAATAGAATAATAATATATACTACTAATACAACTAATAATAGTAGTTGTTGTTGGCATTATTATTAGTTATAATAAACACAATTCATAATTGTATTGGTATTTTGTAATTTTATTTTATTATTATTATTTGTAATTAAGATATGAAATAGAATAATAATAATAATAATACATACTACTACTACTAATAATAATAACATTAAGAATGATTTTTGTTGGCATTATTGTTAGTTATAATAAAATTTATAATAGTTGTATTAGTATTTTGTAATTTTATTATAATCTATTATTATTATTATTATTATTACTATTATTATTATGCATTTTGCCACTGATGTTATTATTACTATTATTAATTCTGATAATTGAAAAAAAAAACATAGGAGGACAGATCATTACAGACATTACACTGCATGTAAGTTTTCGGCTAGATTTAAAAGCACATCTTTTCAGAGGAAGCAACCAACTAGCATTTTGCATCATTATGTACATTTACTTTTATGCTTTTGGCACCTTTATCCAAAAGCAGTTTTACCCAAAGTGACTCAGAATGCGTTAAAGTTATACTTTTATGCTAGATCTTTACATAGATGCACATTTTGAGCTGTGCTGTTGCTGAATAATCACAATGCATTGTCTTCCTGAAAAAAGCAGATCAAATCAAATGGTGAGGTCCCTAAGGATTCCCACCTCTAAGATGTGCAATATAACACTCTAGTCTGGAGAAATATAGTGTGAAAGGCAGGTAAGATGAAAGATCCTAAAATAAAATGGCTTAAAATTGCAGAATCTGGGGCTTCAGTGTCCAAAAGATAAATGAGAGTGAACCGTGGCTGGAAGCATATAGAGATGTGTGAAGATGGTCATCCTCCGAGCCTTCGGCAGCCGTTCTGCACGCTGCATGTGACTCATATCTGCACGGTCGCTCAACAGCAGCCCCGCTCGGCCAATCAGATGTGGAGGGAAATGGTTGCTATGGCAACATGGCAGCAATACTGCAGCAGATGCAGGGTGCATTTGATGGTGTGTTAGTGCCAAAGTTTGTCTGATATTAAATACTGTCAGATAGATTTACACACGAATGTGCAGCCTTGAACGCCGTGTGCCGTGGTTTGAATTCCTCTGACTGACTGTTAGCACATATTTCATCAAAACCTATTTTTCACAAAACTCTTGTGTTACGTAATTCATTCAAGTCTTCAGGAAAGCCACACTAGTGATAAACGCATGCACTCAGATATACAGTGGTGGCCAAAATTATCAGAACACTAGTATTTTTTAACCAGCTAAAAATGATTTTAAGTCAGTTATTTCTATCTTTTGCTGTAGTGTGTCAGTAGGAAATATCAGTTTACATTTCCAAACATGCCATTAACTGTAATAATCCAGTGAAATTTTTGTTTGCTCCACACAGATCTGATCATCATCAGTCTGTCTGGAATGACATGAAGAAACAGAACAAACTGAGACAGACTCAATCCAGAAGAACTGTGGCAACGTCTCCAAGACGCTTCAAGAAACCTCCCTGCAAAGCTTCCTGAAAAACTATGCGCAAGTGCACCGAGGGCAAAAGCTGCTTTAAACACAAAGGATGCTCACACCAAATGTTGATTTAATTTAGTTAATAGAAGTTAATTGATGAAGAAAATCTATTTATGACATTATTTTAGACAGCATCCTCATTTTACAGCATTTTTACACAAGTGCCTAAAACTTTGAACAGTACTGTAGCTTTGCAGGTAGGTTTCTTGAAGCGTCTTGGAGACGTTGCCACAGTTCTTCTGGATTGAGTCCGTCTCAGTTTGTTCTGTTTCTTCATGTCATTCCAGACAGACTGATGATGATCAGATCAGATCTCTGTGTGGAGCAAACAAAAATTTCACTGGATTATTACAATTAATGGCATGTTTGGAAATGTAAACTGATATTTCCTACTGACACACTACAGCAAAAGATTTTTTTAGCTGGAGAAAATACTAGTGTTCTAATAATTTTGGCCACCACTGTATAAAGATAAGATATGACTTAAAATTATTTAATGCACCATAATTGTCTAATATTACATTTGTTAAAATGTATATGAATTACATGCTCAAAATAAATAAAATAATAATTTTAATAATTGTATCTAATTAATAACATCAGGATCCATGGCAGCATTATATAACATCCTGTAGTTATCACCATCGTATGTGTGATGTCACGAGTCAGCATGCGTGTAATCGCGTATGCAGGCGTGTAAATTAGGCTCCCTGCTGATAATCGGCGTAGGTGTGGGGCGTTGCATAATGCCTGGATCTCACAGGGCCGTAAGATGTTGACATGTAATGTAATAATACTAATGATGAATTAGACATAAATGCTGCTGAAGTGGTGTCAGCAGACCTGTGGTATTCACATTTCCCTCTCTCTCTCTCTCTCTCTCTCTCTCTCTCTCTCTTCCCTGCAGATCACCGAGCTCCTGGAGGAAGAGAAGTTGGAGGCTTGTGAGGAGCTCCCACGGGACGGGGAGGATGGTCCCTCCTCCCTTTCCCCTAAACATGCACATGTCGCCCCCTCCCCCAGGTAAAAGCAGTTTTAGAAACATCTTCATCTGGGATCTGTCTAGTCTGAGATCCCTCTTAGGCATCTCCCTGTGCAATTTAATATGAGCTTGTGTGTGTGTGTATATATATATATATTTAAAGTAGGGCTGCACGATAAATCGCATGCAATATTTAATGCGCATCTTATCAGTAAAGCCGGTTCTGTAATCAGCGATAAATCTGTGCGATAAATCAAGTGCACAACGGCTCTGTGTAGTTAATGCTGCTCAATGTGAAAGCCCGCAGGTGATGGAGATTTACCGCTGATTACAGAACCGGCTTTACTGATAAGATGCGAGTTAAATATCGCATGCGATTTATCGTGCAGCCCTAATTTAAAGGTACAGTAACACAAGTTACCTTTACATAACCTCACATCTGTGCCACTTACCACATGCTGACATGTTTTCCACCAGCTCTTGCACCAGATATGAATCATTTGATTGTGTTAACGTAACAAAAATGTGGGTTCAATAAGATTTTTTTTATAGAAAGTAATTGATCAAAAGTGACAGCAAATACAGTTACAATGTTACAAAGGATTTCCATTTCAAATGCATTCTATTCTTTTGAACTTTCTATACATCAAAGAATTCTGGGGAAAAAAATGTATCAAGTTTTTCCTTGCTAATCTTAAGCAGTACAGCTGTTTTCTACATTGAAGATAATAAATTACATTTTAAAATAAATTCAAATAGAAAAGTTATTAAATTGTAATGATATTTCACAATATTACTGTTTTCACTGTATTGTTGATCAAATAAATGTAGACTTGGTGAGCAGAAGAGACTTCTTTCGAAAACATTTCAAAATCTAAAGATACTAAAAGTTATGATGCTACAAAATGGTTCATTAGTCAGTCTGACAGTTTTTAGTTTCAGTTGATTAGTACATTTGATTTATATAGGCATGTTTTTAGCTTTTGCCGTGTGGGAAAGTGGAAAATCCTGTTCTGACAGTTCATGTAAACAAAATATTTATATAATTTAGTATGATATAAGTTAGGCAGTATTTCTGGTTATTTGCTGTGGATTTATCTGTCCAAGTTTAATGTTGTACCCTAAATGGGAGTTGACCTAAATGAACGAACAATAAATGAGTTAAATGAACCATGTTTTTGTGCAAGAAAGATATGCATCAGGTTAAATTATCAATTGCATGTCGATTAGTAAGTAGTTTTAAAAAATGCATTTAAAAAAATACATATTGTGTCTTCAAGTAGCTTCAGTGTATTTAGCTACTTTTTGTTTGCATGTTGTAGTTTAGCTAATTACTTTCCCTAAAGAGTAGCTTGATTATAGTTTAAAAATATGAGTAGGTTTTTTCTTTCTTAACACTGGTGTCTGCCCGCTGCGTTTGACACCCATAACTGACCTATCAGCCGTCTGAGCCGTGAACTCTCTTGGCCTTTGTTCCTCTGAAGTCGATCAGGACACACTTTCAGAAGGTGACTTCAAACTCCAGCGTCCTAAATGTCAGATGGCCTTGCCTTGATGCCATGTTATAAACCTAGCACTTAAGAGCCATACCAAGTCAATGAGTCTGGCATCTTATTTTATGTGTAGCTGTTTTTATAGACATGCTCTAGGTTTTAAACGTGGTATGTAAGGGTGTGGAGAGTATGATTTATGGCTGTCATTAACCTGTAGCTCTTCCCGTGAGTCATCGGGCGGTCTGCAGAAAGGTGTCTGGTAAGGTAACACAAAATGGATTGGTAGCATGTTTCTGTCTGACACAAGCTAAATTGGATAAGTGTTTTGGATTGAGACTAAATGTGAAATGTTCGTGACTCAAATCAGTGATAATAAGGTAACGGTGTTTGGACAGTCGCTCCGTGTTTAAGGTGATTAAATGCTTCAACCTTTAATCCTAATAAACAGACGGCCATGAGAGTTGGCATGTGTCAAAACAACATTGAGAAATACTTGCTGAAGCGAGACAGATTTATATTCTTGCATTCTTTCCAAAAAAACTTATTTGTTTGGCTCTGCTGCTGTCATTGGTTTTGTTCCATTAGCCGCTCCCTTCTAAGGGTTCTCAGAAGTGAATTATTTATAACATTCATAGGCATTGCATCATGGAAATAGCGCACAAGAAACTTTATTCACAATTGATTTTTGATTTTGACTTTTGACGTTGCTTTTATAACAATTTGACACTCTAATGAGTGTTACAAAATACAGACCACACCAAAATATGGGGCAATTTTATTTTTTTTATTTTTTAATGATTTCTTGTTGATACTTTTTAATGTTTTTGAAAGAAGTCTCTTATGCTCACCAAGACTGCATTAATTTTATCAAAAATGCAGTAAAATTCTGAAATATTATTGTAATTTTAAATAACTGCCCTCTATTTTAAAATATTTTACAATGTAATTTATTTCTGTGATCAAAGCTGAATTTTCAGCATAATTTCTCCAGTCTTCATTGTCACATGATCCTTCAGAAATCATTCTAATATTCTGGTTTGCTTCTCAAGAAACACTTATTATTAGCAGTGTTGTTTCTTATTATTCTTTTATTATTCTTATTAATTTCTTATTATCAGCAAAAATAGTTGTGCTGCTTGATATTTTTGTGGAAACCCAAGATATATTTTTCAAGATTCTTTGATGAATAGAAATTTCGAAAGAACAGTAATTAGTAGAAAATTAATTTTTATAACATTTTTGTTATAGAGAAATTTTTGTATCATTATAACTGTATTTACCGTCACTTTTGATCGATGTGTCCTTGCTAAATAAAATGATATAAAAAAAATCTTACTGACCCCAAATTTTTGAACAGTAGTGTATATTTTGAGTCAGCTTGTTGCAATGCATTCTGACTTTGCTTTTTTTTTTGTGAAGGATACATGCTCTGCTGATTTAGAATTTAAACAAAAATAGGTCTTAAAAGGCAGCATAATTTTACTGCCTATCTTTTTAAAGCCTATGTGTCAGGAGCACACATGTGATGCTGTAAAATGCCATCTTGGTATGTTTAGGAACAGAAATATAGTGTGCATTTGTGTTGCATAAACAATGTTCCCCACATTTTTTTATTCGTTCCCCACGTGTTTATTCGTATAAGGATCTTTGCTAATCCTACCCACTTTGAAGTGTTTAGTCTCCACACGAACAGCTTTGGATGGCAGCTGCTGCAGTAGGTCTAAGTCAGACACAAGCAATGATCAGCAGAGAAATGGGCGGAGCAAAGCTGCTAATTAATACGAGCACATCCAAACGCTCTGGGTCTAATAAGCTGTTCATCAGTGCCAGGCTTTTAAAAGATTCGCCCACGGCTCTTTTCAGCACAAAAGCAATTTTCTTTCCACTAGTTTTAGCACATATATAAAAACATTTGTACAATGTTTTTTCTTCCAAATCACCTTGCATAAAGGGCTCATTAAGGCCTGTCTCGAGTATTGCATTATTTGATGGAATTATTTGATGATTTGGTGATTTATTTCCTATGCAAAGATGATAGCCAAGCATTACAATGGCTGTTTACATTGAAGCTTTAAAGGAAAGGCCGCAGCAAAACCACTCATTTAATTGAAAATGGTCTGTTTGGGTGCACAATTTTTTTTAAAGTTATGTCTCGTGACCCTTTTAAGGCCAAGAAGGCTTTCACATCATAAACCTCCTTAAGGACATGGGACATGTCACAACAGAGGCATACAGGAGCATTGTTATTTTTTTGATGCTGTGATGCTATCTCTAATGGCCTGTCATTCACAGCAGTAACAGATAACATTTTATAGTTTTTATGATATGTTACCAGGCATTTATGCTGTGTCGGGATAGCAAATAATTAGTGATTAACTTCAGAGAATGCAATTTGCTCCAAACAATGTGCTATAAATACTTTCCGGCCTGTATTTTCGGTTTCCAATTATATAGTCAGCATGTTTTGTAAAATTGTTTTATTGTCGTATAATTTGGCATGCTTCTCAAATCATCGGTGAAGAGCAGGTTATTCAACAGTCAAGTGGATGTTTATACAACTTGCCCCATTGTACCCCAGTTGAATCTGAAAGGGTGTCGCACATAACGCTAAATATAAGCGCTGCAATGTATCCTTCACCAGCTATGGAAAATACTTTCACGCAGCCCTAAAATAAGCATCAGTAGATTGGTGTTCTTGAGACATGTTGTTCAAGCTTTGGAACGTGTGAACAGTTTTTGACAGTATTGGTCTATAGGTGGAAGGGTCAGTTACTACTTTCACACTGTAAAACAATCTGTTGCTTTCAGAGTGGCCAGCGCCTCACTTTGCTGATATGCGACGGATGATGTTCGATGCGAATGAAGTACAAAGCCTAGGCTATTACATAATAAATCATGTTTTAGCATAGATACATCGCGAATATGGAAACATTTGGATTCGTGCCGAATGAGAGAGGTTGGCATCAGTTTCACCTTAAATTAATTTGTTTTTGGCTTGACGTTTATATAGCCTAAACACTTTAAATCGCCTTAAGCCCTGTTCGGACGGGACTAGTTTTCTATGTTGCTCGCGGTAAGCGCATCTATGGTAATTCACGTTGGCCAAAACACACAAGGAAATGCATTGTGAAAAAAAAAAATATATCGCCACAATCACAGACATTCACATTCGGACGGGATTAGTTTTCCCGGAGGATCACTGAGTTTGCTGAAAAACAGTAGGTAATTTGCTACTATTTAAAATCACCAAGTGTGTCTGTGAAACACAAATTTCTCTAACGTCCCCCCTGTAAAACTAGTCCCGTCCAAATAGGGCTTTAGCTTTAGAGGATTTGTTGTGGAGAGAAGGGAACTTTAGCTGTGTTTATAATGATTGTAAACATTTTGTTTTACCGGCATTTTAGCGTACACTATTTCTGAATGTAAATTTGCTACTATTTAAAATCACCAAGTGTGTCTGTGAAACACGAATTTCTCTAACGTCCCCCCTGTAAAACTACTCCCGTCCGAATAGGGCTTTAGCTTTAGAGGATTTGTTGCGGAGAGAA